TGCCCTGATCTGTTTTGTGTGCATATTTGAAATACCAAAACAAAGTCTCCTTGTAGCCAGTGGAGAACAGATCTGTTTTTCATGTATGAACCAGAGTGCTCTGACCATAAATTTGGCAATTAGTAGCTGGTACCAGAGGAATTTTAAAATAACTAATCAGAACTTTGTGGAAAGACTTAACCATCCACTGTGTTTTCCTTCCCCTGATAACCCTCTTAATTATTTGCATAAAAACATTTGCTCTGTGTAAAGAACGTTGAGGTGCTGTGGGGAATTTGTAGAACTGAGTATTTTTCACCTACAAAAATACAGCAGTAGAAATGGACTGTGCAAACCTGGAGACCCCGAGGAGAAGGCATTGTTAAAAGTTGGACTGAACTCAGGGAATAGGAAAAGGCTATTGTACACAGAAGGAAGTAGAAAAGTCACTTTCCCCCCAAAAAAAAGTAAAGTTTCCTTTTGGCCCAGTAATATCAAGATGAGAGCTCCTCTTTACAAACTGAACAGTCATGTTTAGCAGCCTGAGATATACTTAATACTTAGGCTGACAGTGACGTCATAATAAGGAGTTTCTATTCAATTTGTTAAATATTGGATGCGTGTGAATGAGTGTGTGTGTGTGTGTGTGTGCGTGTGTGTGCAGGTGTGCATGCTAGAGAAAAATGTTGGGTGTCCTGTGCTGTCGCTTTCTGCCCTGTTCCTTTGACGACAGGATCTCTCACCGAACCCAGAGGTAGGCTGGCAGCTGGCAAGTTCCAGTGATCATCTGTCTCTGTCTGAGTGCTAGCATTAAAGAAGTGTAGGACCACACTGTTTTTTTTTTTTTTTAATGTAGGTGCAGAGGATTTGAACTCAGGTCCTCAAGTGCTCTTGGTCATTGATCCTTCTCTACAGCCCTCATTTGTTAAACACTTGAGTTTAAATTCATGCCCTGAAACTTTAAGAAACATTCATTGACTTACATTTTTTTTTTACCTGTCACGTGAATGAACATTTGGTCTGTGTGTATTCCTGTGCACTGCATGCATGCACCTGCTGTTCAGAGTCCAGAAGAGGTGGTGTTGGATCTTCCTCAACTGGACTTGCAGCCGGCTATATGACCTGCTGCATAGGTGCTCACAGCCAAGCCCAGCTGCTCTGCAGCAGCAGGGAGTGCTCTCAGCTACTGAGCCATCCCTTCAGCTCTACTTTATTTGGACCAGGGAGACGAAGCATCTTCAGAGAGTTTTGCTTTGAGCAGATGTGGGTGGAGAGGAGATGCTCCTTGAGCTGAGATGTGTAGAGCATGGGCTGGAGAGATGGCTCAGAGGTTAAGAGCGTTGCCTGCTCTTCCAAAGGTCCTGAGTTCAATTCCCAGCAACCACATGGTGGCTCACAACCATCTGTAATGAGGTCTGGTGCCCTCTTCTGGCCTGCGGGTATGCACACAGACAGAATATTGTATACATAATAAATATAAAAAAAAAGAAATGTGTAGAGCATAAGATTTTAGGTGTTTGGGATAACTGGACTGACACATGCAGGCTAATTTAGGTGTGGACACGAGGGGGTCCTAAGAAATGCAGCCTATTCTTAGCCGACTCTCATCCCCTGATGTCCTATGAATTTGACTGAGTTTTGGTGTATTCCTTGCAAGCGAGACTATATAGGAATGTTCTCTTTCCATTTTAAACTGCTATAAATGTTGGCTAATTGCTTTATCTGGGGGGAAGTTGCTCATCTATGTTCATGTGAGCCTGGTTAAATCTGTCAACAAATACTGAGAACAGAGTGGGTGCGTGGAGCCTGTGTTCTGGCTTCTGTTTGTGTCTGTTAGAGAATAAACACAGTCCCTACCCTCTGCTAGGAAATTGTCTCAACCCTGCATAGACGGGCAGCATGCATGCCGCTTCAGAAGCAAGCTCTTTTTTTTTTCCTATTAATTAATTTATTTATTTATTAAAGATTTCTGCCTCCTCCCCGTAGAAGCAAGCTCTTTATAGCTAGTATGGCTCCAAGACTTGAAGTGATTGACAGCTGTGATGGATTTTATCTTCCTTTGAATTTTTCTTGTTGATTTCCTAGGGTGTTCTGTTCTATGACAGAGAGAGTACACCATGCAGAGCAGAGTTTCTGCTGTCTGACACACGGGTGTTGTGGTCTTTCCTCAGAGACTTGATGGAACTAAAGGAGAAATACCGAAAGTGAAACTTTTGATGATTAGTTTATCTTCTAGAGAATTTTGGTGCGTTTTTTTCTTTTTGTGTGAGCATATACGTGTTTGCGTATATGATGTGCATGCGTGTGTGTGAGTGTGAGTGAGTGAGTGTGTGTGGTGTCAGTTGTCATCTGCCTTGAGGTAGGCCTCCTATTTATTACTACAGACAACAGACTAGCTGGCTATGACCTTCCGGAGATCCTCCTCTCTCTGTTCCAGTATAGGAACACGGGGGCTGCAAATGTACTCTGTCCCGTATGACTTTTCTGGCTTTCCGTGGGTTCTAGGGACTGGAGCTCAAGTCTTCATACTTATATGTGACAAGTACACTATCCACTGAGCTGAAGTCAGTGCTAGCCTGGCTTGTGATTATGACTTCTTTTTTAATTTTGGGCCAGACAAATTTTGCATGACTCAGTTGGATTTTTGTTGATTTCAGAATTTAATTCCTGGGGAGTCTTTATTTTCCCACCTTTACTGTGGTGTGTGTTTGCGTGCATGCCCGCGCGTGGTGTGTGTGTGTGTGTGTGTGTGTGTGTGTGTGTGTACATATGCACATACGCTATGATAGTGAGTAGTATAGTTATTTTGTACTCACATATGATTCATTTTTCCATGTCATTGTTTGGACAGCTTTTAGAATACAATTTAAACTTTCCCCCAAGTCAGCTCTTTGTGGAAGAGTGGGGACCCAGGAGAGAAATCTACAGTTGATACCTGATAGCCTGTTACCCCTAAGACTGCTGACATAGGTCTAACTGTCCTAAAAACAGCTGAGCTCCCGACACAGGCCAGCGGGATGTCTGGAACGGGGTGCCAAAAATCAATGTCACCTAGACCTTACTCTGTAGCATGGTAGTTCTGCCGCAGATTCGGAATGACCTGATGGCCAATTAAGGGCAGCTTTGTGGACATACTGTGACCTTTACTTGAGATGGCCAGAGGGTCAGGCACAGGCCTCTCTGCGAGAGCCACCATGGCACGTGTTGAGGGGTCTAGGCCAAGCTTATGGAATGGTTGATTTGAACAACGGACAGTTGATTTGAAGATGAAATGTGTGTGTCTATCAAGCTTCTATTTTTTTTTTAAATATTTGCTCTCGCCTCCTTTAAATTAAAAACAAGCAATCAAATCCAAAAACTCTTTAGAGAAAGTCTTGCTAACCAGCCCAGGCTGACCTGAAACTGGTGATCCTCCTGCCTCAGCCTCCTGACTACTGGGATTACAGACGTGTGCCACCATGTCTGGCTTTCATGGCCTTTTAAAAGGACCACATCACTTTGCCCTGTCTTGAGCATGACTATCAGGAGAAATTTGTGTTTTCTATGGGGCTCCATATGGGGAGATACTGTGTGACTCAAGAAGCACTTCAGAGGCAGAATTGGGCCTGAGCCATTCTCCTTTTGTGTGTAAAGCCTTGTTTGTAGGAAGGTTCAACCCCAAGAACCGCTCTGGCTTCCTAGATATCCTCCTCCTCAGATAGTTCAGTTTTGTTTGTTTGCCCAAAGCTCTCCCTGATCTGAGCCGAGAGGCCAGCCAGCCACTGGCAGCCTGCTGAGGAGGATGAGCCAGCTAAGGGGCGCTGAGCCCAGCTGCAACTCTGCATATTTGGGGTCAGGCCTTGCTGTTAATTAGCTGAGTGACCCCCGGGTGGACTCAGTCTCCCAGGGTCTGTTTCTTTGTTGGTAAAACAAAGGCTTGGAAAAATAAATACAGGCACAGACCACGTGATAAGAAAGGTCACTCTGCTTGCTATGTGGTGGCTCTGGGGATGGCGGCACGTTGAGACCCCTGATCCTTCTCAGTGAGGGCCACAAAACTGCTTTACTCCGAGCATTGAGATGTAGCTTGTTGAGGCCACCTGAAGCTCTCAAGTTAGGCGGGTTTGGGATTCCTTCTCTAGTGGAAGTTGCCTCATGCTCCCCCCACCCCCCTCGCGCCCCATCCTTTTGGGCTTGGCACTGCTTGCATGCCTTCTGCCTTCTTCTTGGTGCATGGGCTTCATGAGGAAATAATAGCCCCATTGTTTCTTGTTGTAGAGATGGTTTCCAGTTTCATCTTAATCCTGGGCCATTGTGTTGTTTTTACAAACTCAGTTCAACACCCCCCCCCCCCTGTGCAAAATGCAGTTCATTCTTTTAAAGGACTCAGCAGCCATCCACAGGCGGATTCTCCTCATCTCCTTCCCAAAGTCATAACTATATATAGTAAAAATGCACGGGAGTGTTGCACTGTTTAATTGGGCCACCTGGCATCAGGGTTAAAATGGGTTCCATCTGTATTTGGTTTGCAAATGCTTCCGAGGTATGTTCCAATCCAGTAACCTTCCAGAGTGGTGTCTGTGGTTTGGTGGCACCTGTAAAAAAGCATTTCTTTTAACCGTGTAGTTTCTCTCTTATTAATCATATCTTTGTGATTTCGCGTTTCCTTCTTGTTTCCATGAGCTAGGGCTGGCAGGTCTATATCACCTTGCCAAGTACCTTACTACTAGTAATGGGCCCAGTTTAGCCTCATAACCCTGATCAGACGCGGAATGCGGAGAATGCACTGCCTGTGCCGGCTGTCACTTTTCTAACCTGGCTGTGAACTCCTGATGTCTTCATTGAAAGCTCTATTGCATTCCTGGTGTCTCTGCCCCGTAGTTTCCCACTGCATGTTTATTCATAGGGAATTCATATAAATCTCAAGGTACTTCTGGGTTATCCTAACTAATCTTTTTCTGAACATGAATTACACATGAGGTCATTTTGCAAGCGATAGTCCCAGTGTCTCCTACATTTAACTCCTCCCCTTTTCTCTTCAGAAACAGAAGAGTGTTGACAATGTTGAAGGCTGTGCTGAAGAAGAGCCGAGAGGGAGGAAAGGGAAGCAAGAAGGAAACAGGTATGTGCACCAAGTTGAGTTGAGCTCTTTTGGGGGTTATGGCAGGCAGCCCTGGGCAGCCAGATCCCACCACTACAGGCTAGGTAGGTGCATGGCTGTGGAACCAACCCGGAGACACTCAGAAACCAAACAGTGTTCTGGAGTGCATTCTACGCATTCTGCGTCTGATCAGGGTTATGAGGGCTCTGTAGTTCTTAAGTTTCTTGTTTTTTTTAAATGAGACACAATGTTGGAAATAAGCTTCAATTTTGAACCAAATCCTTCCCTGAAAGATGTTAAAGGTTCATAATTTTAAAAGTCGTTCAGATTCAGAAGCACAGTTAAAGACGTTGAAGGATAGCAGTTGTGTTTAGGAGTTTGATTTCTAGGAAGCCCCTTTCCTGGTCCCACACGGAGTTGAATTTTATGTCTGACCAACTGTTGCCTGACTGGTTCTTGTGTTTTGGGGTATCAGATTTTATTCCTAACAGGTGTAGCCCCACTTCATGCCAGACTGCTCACTCAGTGGGAGGAGAGCGGTTTAACTTGGCTTGGGTTTCCCTCCTGTCTGTAGTGTTTTGGTGCCTATTTGGCCATTGTGACCCGAGTGGCATCACATTCCATGTGGTCACCTCCTCTAAGGTTGTTCTGGCCACGGTCAGTCTCTTCTTCGTCCCAGTTTCTCTTGATAGAAAGTCTATGCTTCGTGTGTTTGTATTCACAGTTCAAAGGAGCTTTTGGAGCTGCCCTGCAGTCCTCTCTTTCAGCTCGTGTGAAATCTACTCTTGTTGGCAAGTGGCGCCTTTTAAAATGACTTAATGTCAAGTAATATTTCAGTTTTCGTTTCTGTGACGGCATCATAGATAAATAAACTTAGCATCATCAATTATAATTAACTTGTAATTCAAAAGGCCTTATACATTGTTGATTTGTCTCTATGCTTTTTATAAAGGGCTCTGTAGACCTCTGGATATTTTGGCTATGTGGACCTAGATAAAGTTTCTGCTTATTACTAATTATCCCTTAAACAGAGCCTGCAAAGTGGCAATCTCACCTCAACAGTGGATCCTTTATTACATGGTTGCTGTTAGGATTCTATTACACGCTTCTCATTACTGCCTGGGTAAACAGATACAAAGAATAGAAGGAAGCAGATTTTAATGATATAAACAGAAGACTGCATAGTTATCTCATAACCTTAGAAAATCAACCCCTAGCTTTGAATAATTAATTAGAATTGTTACTATGGAGAAATTTTAGTTCACATAATTTCTTTCCCAGGGCACATTCATCTTCTGCTGGGTCAGGGCCAAAATGTCTTTCTCATTATTTTTCTGAAAGCAGTTAATTTTTTTTTCAAAGTTTTGGCTCATCTGATACTAATTCTGGAGACTTTATTTGTTGCCTTCGAGACCTTTGTAATTTTTAGCATAAATGTAGACAGCTTAGGTCTTGGGATGGAGCTGCCAAGCAAGCAGGTACCCACCCCCACTCCCTTCCAGGACCAGGGGTCTGCAAGCCAAACCACCTATAGAGTAACAGCATCTCTCAACAAAGACTGTCCTCTTCCAGGGTGCCAGGACCATGGGAAATAAGTTGAAATGATGTTCGGCACCTGTGCCTTCAGGCAGGCCAGACAGCAAGCATAGTTTGCCTTTGAAAGGTTTCCAGTTTCAAAACATGGGACTTGGGGCTTAGGTCTCCCTTTGGCCTTTTGAGAGGAACTACTGCTTTTTCTCTGAGTCCTGTCTTTATCACAGTTCCCACACTCTGGGTTTTTCACTCGGGCACACTGGCTTGAAAACATAATGGGAACATTTTGTATAAAGCATCTGTATGGTCTGTGTTCCTTGCTGTTAACTGGAACCTGGTTTGTGTCATGTTGGGAACAAAGCAGTTGGGATTTTACATCCAGATGAAGTCATGTGAAAAGATTTGGGTAAATACTTGGGTTTTGACAACTTCTATGTTGAGTTCTGTGCCAGCTCATCGTCTCAGTGAATCCCAGCTGAGTCTCTGAGTTAACGCTAGCGGCCTGAGACAGCTGTGAGACTTGGTAACCAACCACTCCTCCTCCAGCATGTGCAGGCTTTGCAGCGCTCTTTGCTTATTTTTGTTTTTGTTTTGTTTTTTTTTTTCGAGGCAGGGTTTCTCTTTGTAGCCTGGGCTGTCCTGGAACTCATAGACCATGCTGACCTTAAACTCACAGAGATCCACCTGCCTCTGTCTCCCAAGTGCTGGGACTAAAGGCGTGTGCCCCCTCTGCCTGATTGTTTTATTTTTGGTGCTGTTTTTGAGGCAAAGTTTCTGGTGAGCAGCCCAGCCTGGCCTTGAGTTTATGCTCTATCTGCCTCTGCCTCCCAGTTGCCGGGATCACAGCCCTGTGCTTGCCACACCAGGCTAAATGTTACTAGTTCTGACTCACAGCCACAGCTAAGGGTTCAGCCTAGGGCTGTCAACTCCTAGTGCATTCTGCAGATGAGCTGTATCCCCAGTATTGAAAAGGCTTTTTTCCAGCTTCAGTCCCTAAAAGAATATATCCGACGTATCTACCTTAAGCTGTGTGGAAAAAAAATTAGCAAGTGTTGACACTCAAATTATATTTATATATAAATCTCATAAAATGTGAGATTGAATCCCATTGACGGAACTCTAAAATTAGCAAAATTCTTTTTAAAAATGATTATGCATTTCCATCTATGCTGGTAGATGGGCAAAATCTTAGTTTCTGGAAACTGGAGAGGCATGTTGGGGAATGAAATCTCAAATTCTGAAGTGTTTTGGGGGTGCATGTTCTCTTTGCCCTTGTTGAAGTTCCGTCAGTAAAAAATGAGCCACATCTGTCTCTTGGCCTTGAACTAGGTCTGTGGGAGCAAAAATAAATATTAAAGGCTATCAAGATAGCTCACCTGGTACAGTGCTTGCTTCTAAGCCTGCAGGATGACTTGCATTTGATCCCCATTTCCACATTCTGGAAAGAGAATTAACTTCTGAAGCTTGTCCTTTAATGTGAGTGTGCACATTATATGTAAATACACACACACATATAAATACATATATATGGTGCACACATAATATATAAATATATATTTTAAAAACCAGTATTTAGCCACAGTAGAAGGGTGTGTTAGACAAAGATGTCTCCTTTTTTCTTCCCATTTTCATGGCAAAGTCTTGTTTTAAAATCAGCACATTAGGCTCCATCTTTATCCCAAAGCCCTTCAGAGAGGTTCGCCACCTACTACTTAATTTCTTGATTTCATCTGACCTATCTTACCAGATGGTTTTCATGCAACTCTTATTAAACTGTTATTAAATGGGTTAACTGCTGTATTCTACGGTCAGGAGTGTCTGATTTGAGAGCTGAACCTAACAAGAGTGTCGAGCACGTTAAACCAGCAGAGGAAGCCAGCCTCTCTTCTCTAGAGAAAATGAATAACGTTCCATGTTGAAACAGCAGAAGTCTTTAATAATAAATCTGCAAGCTTTATGCTGAAATAAATGATAAAACTTTATTGATGACTCAAGACTGAATAAAAATAAATATTAAATTCCTAGGTGTATGTATATATACACACACACACATATTTATTATTTCAAGCCAAGTAGTTCCCCTAAAATTATCTGTACCGTTCAATTACTTCCTGATGAAATCCCTCCTTTGTTGTTGATTCTTGTAGTCCTGGGGATCAAATCCTGGACCGCGAAATATGCTTCGTCACTGATAGAAGCCTGCCCTCAACACAATAGTTTGGTTTCGAGGGTAGCACGAATTCTAATTGGTATTGATAATAAAAACCCAGAGTCAGATACTAGGAGGTGAAAGCTGAGAGACCAGAGAAGCAGTGCAGCCAGCCACTAGAGAGACCTTGTACCTTTACCGAATCCTCAGACCAAAAGGGCGATCCTGTCCTCAGACTGCAGGGGCAATTCTCAGACTACATCTGTCTCTGCCAAACCTCAGACTGCACCGAACTCCCGTCTCCTTTCATCTTATATTCCTCTCTCTACCCAGCCAATACCGCTCCTGTCTCCACCTCCCTATGGCTGGGATTAAAGGCGTGGAATTCAAAACGCTGGGATCACCTTTGCAGGAGCTCCCCTTTCTCTTTTAGACAGATTAACTCTCGGTAGCCCAGGGTGGCCTTGAACTAACAGAGTTCCCTCTGCCTCTGTCCTGTGAGTTCTGGGATTAAAGGTATGTGCCACCACTCCCTGGCTTTTAGTGGTTTAGCTATGTATTCTGATCTTTAGGCAAGTTTTATTTGTTAAAATATAAAATACCAATACATTTGAGGACTTTTTTTTAAAGATTTTCAAAAGGGATAGTTTTAGGTTCACAAAAAAATTGACTAGACGATATGGCAGCTTCCCCCACGGGTATCCGACTTCTCCTATTGAAAACGGCCACACCAGAGTGCTCCGTTTGGTGTATTTGTTACACTGTCAATGATGGTGACACAAAGCTAGTTTACAGTAGGGCCATGGGTAGATGTCTATATCCTGTGGTCTAGAGAGAATATCGTAGTACCATATAGAACATTTCGACCTCATCCTGTGTGTTTCTTTATTTCCAACACAGCATAAAATTGATATAAAAATTCATCTGGAAGAGAGGGGGCTTAGGACTAGGCAAGGAGAACTGGAAATCATGGCAAGTACTTGTAGAACAGCTAAGCCTGGATCACATGCGTGGTTCTCTCTGCAAAGAAGCTGGGAGAGTGCGTGTAAATTTTTCATGTCTGTGGGGTCAGGTGCATTTTGCCTCCCATTAGGGAGGGTTCTTAAGTCAGAGACAATGGGAAGGTGTCTTTCCCCTCCAGACTGACTTGGTGTGTAGCTCGTGATAATAGCCAGCACTTAACGAGCAGCCAGCTCCGCTAGAGTTTTGTTGTTTTTGGTCTTGCTGTCAAGAAATGAAACATACTTTTATCTGATATCTAATCCAATTAAAGTTCACAGTAGATAATGTTTGTTTTTTTTTTTTTTGGTTTTGGTTTTG